CCCCCCACCCCGCTCCCACCCCTGCGGCCGCTGCCCGCCGCTAGGCCCGGGCGGCGTCCGGTTCCAGAAGCTCCACCGAGCTGCTCCCGCGAGCGTGTCGCTTCACCGGGCCGAGGCGCCTGGGAGCCCCCAGCTAGTGGGAAGGTGAAGGGAGGTAAAATGCTGAGGGAGCCCGTGGTGACCTGTGGCACCACGAACGGCCGAGACGCACAGAACCGCGGACACAGCACCGAGTGTCAAACGGGTGGACACAGCTGCCAGGAGCGCCCGCCCGTCACCGGCTCTCCCGGGCCGCAGGGACACACTGTGCATGCTGGCGTGTGGGCCCGCCGTGCCTGACTAGTCCCGTCCCCCTGATGCTCCCTTCCTGTGCATGGCCACGGTCTCCAGTAGGTGGGACCCGGAGGTTCCCGTCACCCCCGACAACAATCAGCCAGGTGAAGTCCTTTCTCTGGTTGGCCTCTGACAACTCCACTTCACGTTCAATAGCAGTCACCTCTGCCCACGCACGGTCACGCAGGGGCAGGGAGGGGCAGGGCAGGCAGGTCTCCCAGCCTTTGCCACGCATGAGCTGACGAGGACAGGGGGAGTGGCTCCTTTCCACGGCTCCGGTGAGGGCCGGCTGGACCAAGGGCTTGGCGCCACAGGCGGGTTGCCTGGGAGAAGCCCTGCCGGCGCCAAGGTCCACCGGGCCCTGAACTGCCCACTCTTCTTGCCGTTCTAGGAGCAAATCCAGAACCAGCTGGACCACCTGAAAAGAGTGAAAGACCTGAAGAAGCGGCGTCGGGCACAAGGGGAGCAGGCACGGGCCGAACTGCTGGTAAGGGTCACCGCCGCCGTGGCGCAGGCCACTCGGTTTCTGGAGGGCCTGACTTAACCTCGTCCACCCAGACTTCTGAGCTGCGGTGACTGCCCTGGTGGCAGGAGGCAGCTCACCGCAGAAGCAAGGGCTTCCTGTAGTTTGCGGAAAGGGCAGGAGAGCCCCGCCCGGAACCCCTGGAGATCTGACCTGTCAGCGCTAGGCCGGGCAGGCCTGGGGCGCCTGAGAGAAGTGAAACTTTGGGCAGCTCCCTGTGCATCCAGAGGTGCTGAGGGTGACTGCGTGAGCCCCGCTGGCTTCTCTGAAGTGTTCCATTTCTTGACAACGCTTTGATTCTCTTGTGCCCTTTTATGATTGGAGTGTATGTGGTTTGGTTTGAGACCCCGGGGGAAAGCCAGTGGGTACCCAGATTAGAAGATTCTTACCCACCACTTGGGCTGGCCATTTTTTAAATATAATAAACAGTCCAGATCCCTACCCAGCAGAGGCGTTTCCATCTGAAGGTAGGACTGTCTAGCACCATCTTATGGGGGTGTGCTCAGAGCTGGTTCTGGTGTCACAAAGAGCTGGGCGGGGAACTCCCATGACTTCATGACATCCTCAGAGCCTGCCACTAGGCTCTTCTCAAGTGGGCGTGCAGAGACTGAAGTCACGATGGCCACAGCCGAGCCCTCCTGGTCGGCCTGTCACAGACTCGGGGCACCGAGCCTACCTCTAGCCACGTCGAGCTGGAGAGAGTCACACAGCCTCCGAGCTCAGTGTGCTCATGTGAATGGGCAGACCGGGCCAGGCTTACGGTTCTCACTCACGACTACCTCCGCCCGCTCCTTTCTACAGTCTTGTGTTGTCTCTGAGTGACACGGCCAGGGGTGTTGCATGTTCCCATCCGGGCAGCAGCGGCCCTGCCAGGCGCTGAGAGCTTTCACTCGCAGACTCTAAGCTCAGCCTGTGTCGCATGTGTCTCTGAAAGTCTGCTTCGGATGAAGACAGTTGTGAGCTTATGAAAAGGATTTAAGCACAAAGGTGTGTGCGCATCGCTGACTTGCACAGCGAGTGCCCACGCTGTAGGGGGAGGAGTCGAGTTTAAAATGGATGTCGCAGACCTTTGTAAAGGCTCAGAAAAAATTTTTTTTTTAAATTTCTTTATGCAGGGCCCTCCCTGGTGGCACAGCGGGTTAAAGCACAGCACTCTGAGACTGTCCCAAGCCCCTGGAGCAGGAGCTTGATCCCCAGCCAGGGAGTGACCCACAGGGCGCGGCAGACCTCTCCTGTGTCCCCGCTGCTCCCCTCAGCAGTGTGTTTCAGTGGATCTGCCTCTTCTGCTCCCTACTCTGTCTCTGCTGAATCCTCTCACCCCCTGTCCCTCTGGCCTGTACCCCAGTTCTTATATACATAAATAAATCTTTAATAAATATATTTATGCATACAAGAACCGGCATACAGGCCAGAGGTGCAGCCTCTGGGAGGACTCACTGGAGACAGTGGGGAGCAGAACAGGCGAACTGACTGAAGGACACTTAGGGGAGCAGTGGGTGAGACTGGAGCGGTCTGCTGCGCTGTGGGTCACCTCCCTGACTGGGGATTGAACTCGTGCTGCAGTGGCTGTGGCTAGCTTCACAGTACTACAGTTTCACCCTCTGCGCCACCGGGGAGGGCCCTGCAATAGTGAGTGTTTAAAGCAGTGGGCCTCATCAGCTCTGCCACAGTTTTGCTCAGACAGCCAAGATATAAGCAGACAGGGTGTGGTTTTGACCCATAAAATTTTACTACTAGGAATTATACAAATAGAATTTACTGACCCTCGGCTTAGAGTAAGATTTTAATGTGAGCTGGACAAGAGGGCAGACCAGCGTTGGCCCAAAATATTGTGCCCAGAGGAACCTGTTTGCAAAGCAGAAAGATGGGGTTGCTGCTGCACAGCCTTGAAAGCCGAAGGGGCCTGGCCCAGGCTACCAGGCTCTGCGTGCGCCAGGTCACCCTCCCCCGGCACGTCTGGCCACGTCTCTCCCGCTGCCTTCGTGGCTCCCCTTGCCTCGCCTTCCAGGCAGGTGTGCTCTGGTCTCTTCTGACCTGTCTGGCTCTTCCCTCAGCATCGTGGGCTGCGACCACGCCTTCCCTGTGTTGCCCCTCTGCCGGGAAGCTTTCCTGTTCTGTTAGAGACCTCACAGCCAATTCCATTCACCCTGCGGGTTGTGCGGACTTGCTCCAGGGAAGGCTCCCCAACTTCTCCCACCGGGGGCACCCACTCTTTGCTTGTCCACCAGTGATGACTTGTAACCGGTGAACCCAACTCCCACTCCACCTGCATGAGGGCCGGGACTGTGTCTCAGCTATCACCGGGTAATTCAGTTCTCAGTCGGAATAGATCGTCAGTTAGATGGGGAGCAGCGATTCAGTGAACAAGCTGCACGGTCAGTGTCCTGGCAGTGACCCCAGTGATGGGGTCTCGGGGTGCCGAGCTGGGGAGCAATGCGAGGGGGCCGTCTCCTCTCTTCGCTGCCTTTCCCGGTCATCCACGCAGAGCCTGACCCAGATGGAGAGGGAGAAGATCGTCTGGGAGTTCGAGCAGCTCTATCACTCCTTGAAGGAGCATGAGTACCGCCTCCTGGCGCGCCTCGAGGAGCTGGACCTGGCCATCTACAACAGCATCAATGGCGCCATCACCCAGTTCTCCTGCAACATCTCCCACCTCAGCAGCCTGATCGCCCAGCTGGAGGAGAAGCAACAGCAGCCCACCAGGGAGCTCCTGCAGGTAAGGCCCACACACCTGTCTTTGCCAAGCAGTGTCCAGCCCCTCTCCCTGGCTTTCTGGGCATGAGTGACTGGGACTCTCCGGGCTCTCCGCTGGGCTTTCAGAGGGAGAGCCTGTACGCTGGAGGCCGTGATGGACACACCTTAGCTCAGCCAGTCGCACTGGCACATGAAGAGGCCAAGGGCCTGTCCTGCTCAGGTGGCCTGCTGGTCTCTGCCAGCCTGTCACCTCATCGTTACCTCATAGGGGATTTGACCCATGTGGTGTTGAAAGACCCTTCTCACTGTCAAGTGAACGTGGACATGACGTGTATGTTACCACAATCCTAAAACAGCAAGCGCTTGAGCACGATGGTCAGCCCGGGCAGTCCTGTGGTGGACGCTTCCGCAGAGCACAGGAAGCGAGCTAATGTCCGTCCGTTGCAGCTCATGCAGCAGCCATGAGTTGTCTACTCTGCGTCAGGCACTGGAGCTAAGTGGAGAATAAGCGCTGCTGAGATTCATATTCTGCTGTTGAGACTGGACAGTCAGTGAACAAACACACGTCCTGGGTGCTGCCGATAACGCCATCCAGCAGGCGACGGTGCGTGGCCCGGACACACCCTGTGGGCCAGCCCGCTGCGTACCTGCTGTGAGCCAAATATGGCTTTAAACCATGGTAAGTCGTTTGAAGAAACTCAGGAGTATTTTATCGCCTGACGTGTGAAACGACATAAAGTTGAAGTTTCAGGGTCCGTGCATTTTTATTGGGCCATGTGCCGCCCACTTACTCAGCTGTTGTCTGCTGTGACTTTTCCACAAGAGCAGAGCGGAATCGTTACAGCGGAGTCTGTGTGACTCCAGAAGCCTCAAGTATTTCTTGCCGGACCCTTCAGGAAAAGGTTCAGTCCCTCCTGTGTTGGAATGATAGGAAGGCCTCGCCTTGAGCCTTCACAAACACCAGTATTTTGGTGCTCGGAGAAAAAGGAAGAGCTCGCAAAGGAAACAGTTGACCAGAGGGGCAGAACATGATCAGGAAATAATGTTCCAGAAAGAAGTGGAGACAGCTCTGCTACAGTTGAGATGAAATGACAGAGCTGATCAGCACGTGGCACGAGACATGGGCATCCTGGTCGGCCTCGGGTCGAAGGGCCAGTGGGCCAGCCTCACCTCGCAGAGAGGCGCGGAGGCCGGCGGGGGACAGAGGAAGGAGGAGACACGCTGTGCAGGGGCTGGAAGGAGGGGGAGGCGCCCTGGGGGTGAGGCCGGATGGCTTCATGGGACGGTGCTTACGGGTGAAAGCAGTCGGGGAGAGGCCTGAGTGAGACCCTCCCACCACGGCTAAGGCAGAGGCAAAGGAGGCTGGAGCCGTGTGCTGTCGGGTTTGGAAGACCGTGTCGCCTGGGAGAAGGATGGCGCACGGGGCAAGTGCAGGCTGCCAGCTTTGGTAGCACAAACCCATGACTTTCAGTCTCCTGAAGCTGAAAAGCAGAATCACTTTGTTGCTATTAAGTGGGGGTTCTGGGAAATATGGGGCTTTGAAAAACATGGGCAAGAACCTCATGACTTCAGGTTCGCTAACTCAGGCATCCTTCTCTGGGCCAGTTAGTCACCTACCTGGCCAGCTTGCTGTCCTTCATCGTAACTGTGGAGTAACATGAGCACACAGAGACGCTGCTAGAACAGAGAGCTCCTGTGTACTCTTCCCAGGCTTGCCAGATCATTATAAACATCTCTCTTCCGCATCATCATAGAGATCACTGTTACTATTCTACTGCATTAAACCTGTGTGTGTGTTAAGATCAAGAATGTTTTTGTATATAACTAAGGACAGTTGTCAAATGCAAGACATTGAGCATGGATACATCTGCCTCACCCACAGCCTGAGATGTAATTGAACCAACTGCCCTAATCATGTTAATAATGACCCGTTGAAAGGGGAAATTCCTTAGCTGGATTTGGCTTTCCCGACGGATTTGGCTTTCCCGACGATGTTGACCTTGGTGCCGTGAAGTCTAGTTATTTTTCACAAAGTAACTGATTTTTGGTTTTCAGCTATTCTACTCGTGTCTGTCAGTTCTTCCTCTCATCGTTAAAGTCAGGCTGGACCATCTTTGGGAGTGGGACTATGTGACCGGCAGCTCTCCTGGGGCCGGTGGGCCAGTGTGTGGCTTCTCTGTTCTGGGGAGACGCAGGACAGGCAGTTTGTGGACCCAACCATATCAGTGGAGTTTTCACCCCTTTCAAAGTTCGGCTCAGTGTCAGCTCTAAGCTTAATGATCCATCCCCCAGCGTCACCTCAAAAGCAAACCCTGGACGCATGAAGCAGCCCTTCATTCCTTCCCACCCACTGCCAGCCCTCATCTGTGGTGCGAGCGCTCCGTTTTGGGCGTGTGATATAACTGGGGGCCGGGGGTCGTGTGTGTCCTTTTGCAGCTGTTCAAGTTTCTCCCACATGCTAGGCTACTTTGTTTCTAGGACATAGTATATTGTTGAGAGGAAATATTAAGTGCAAAGTACAGAGTATGCTAGCTTATGCGTGTTTAGGAAGAGAACTGGAAGGTCCATGTGGACTAACTGTTATAAAGGCAACACTGGAAGCGGAACCCAGAGCATACCACAGTGAGGAGACTGGGACAGACAGGAAAGGGCTGAGAGTCTCGCCAAGTCTCAGACTCTGGTGATAAAACAAGAATGTGAGTCTATAACAGTAACAACAACAGAATCATCCTCCCAGCAGAAAGCCGACTGTATACTAAAGAATACTGGCAAGTAGTGGTGGATACCAGATCTGAGGGGGGACAGTTTGCTGGGAATTACACGGTCCACATGGGTTCAAAGATTCATAGATACTTCTAATTCCAAAGGCAGACAAGGCAGTGAGGAAAATCATCATTGCCTGGAAGGGGCACGTGGATACCATGTACCTTTAGAAAGATACAAATGCACTGGTCAAAGATGGCATGGCCTGAACTTAACTGAGCTTAACCCTCACGCATGTCTCAAGGACGACGGCCTGTGAAGTTCAGCGTCACACGAGAGACCCAGGCTGCGAGAGACATGCCGTGGATGGTCCTGGGCTACTGAGCAGGGGGCGTAGCCATAAAGGTGATTAAGACAAGCGGTTACATTAGGCTAAAGGTTGCTGCTTAGATAGAAGTGTTGTATCCACGTTCAAGGTCCAGAGTCGGGGGATTGTGCTGGAGTTACATGAGAAGGTTCTGTGTCCTCTGGAAATAGGGAGTGTAAAGAGGTATGATGACAACAGTGTCGGCGCACGCGCTTCCGAAGATAAATCCATTTATAACGATCTGGCGCGTCTGGGAGAGGAGCACACAGGGGCTCCCGTTCCAGCGGCGTGTCTGTGTTTGAGCAGACTCCACCATTACAGTCACAGCAAGCTGCCCAGGTAGGTGACTGATCTGTGGGGCCTTTCAAAGTTAGGCTGAAATGCCGGGGGAGTCGTGCCCCCAGTCTGCCTACCTGACAGGTCCTTCTTTGACTGGTCTTGAGCTCCTCGTGGCGCTGGTTTCTGCCGGGAGGCCAGCCCGTGGGTGGGGTCTCGGCAGGCAGCTGTGTGAGGGGACCCAAGTGGCCGATGGCTTCTCACAGTTCTCCTTTTCCTTTCTCTTGTAGGACATCGGGGACACGTTGAGCAGGTACAGTGTTCTGTCTCCCCAGAGTCAAGTCGAGGGCAGGAAGAGCATTCCCTGGCACTCAGTAAATCCTGCAGAGAGCCCAGGCCCCAGGCGGACCTTTTACTAGACTGGCACGTATCTGCCTGTGCCCAGGCCGGTACGAGCACGCGCAGGTCTAGGCAAGCAGAGGTCTCCTCAGTAACACGGAGGCACTGCTGACCACTGAGGGGAGGGGGCTGCTGGTGACTTACCAGGGAAGTCCACCACGGGTAGAGGTGGACAGAGACCCGGGCCAAGTGCAGAGGTCCCTGGTGGTTGTTGCTCCCCAGTTCTCATTTCTCTGCTGTTACGTCAGGGAGAAAGTGAGGAAGCGCGCCTGGGCTGGGGCGCGCCTGAACAGAGTGAGCAGAGTGGTGAAGAAAGGCGTCTGCGGGGTGGATGGCAGGGTGCACGCGACAGGCCGCAGAACGCGGTGTCTGGCGCAGGCTGCCTCTGGCCACATGCTGACTTGGGGGAGCTGAGCTCGAAAAGGCGGCGTCACGAAGGGGAGCCTTTGAGGCGGGCCAGGCCTCCTGGCGGGCTGCACGGGGCAGCACTGGCTGTGGGGAGAGTCGTGTGCAGAGTTGAGGTGCGTGAGGGCCCGCTGCAGAGGAGGCTAGGTGGAGGTTGTACAGCCCCGCGCAGAGGCCCCCTGGAAGTACTGTCCTTCCCTGGCACCTTTGGCACCAGGCTAGTTTTGGGGAGGAATTGATAGTTCTGGGGATGACTAAAGAGGTAGATCCCCAAGGTACTAGCCCTTCTTGGCCTAGGAATAGGTTTGATGATTTGAGATGGGAACCCAGAATTTCACTGGCTATTACTTAAACATAATTTTAAAAAATTGCCACCACGCGAGGATATGGAGAAAAAGGAACTCTCCTGCACTGCAGGTGGGAGTGCAAACTGGTACAACCACTATGGAAAACTGTTTGGAGGTTCCTCAAACTGCTAAACATGGAGCTTCCCTATGACCCA